GCCAGACCATAGAAGGTATTAGCCAGCAGTTACTCAGGTGTATCCAGATGCCATTGGAAGGTTTTGAGCATTTGTGATGTAATTTCATAAAATTCCTTTTCTTGGCCAGAAACTTGGAAAAGAATGTATGGTCATACTGAATTGAAATGACGATAAGCAGAGATTTGAGTTTTAAAAGGCATTTTTGATTGTTTACTTTGGTGTTATACATGCCACAGCTTAAAAATGAACTAGAATCTCTTTACTGGCAACCCTTCTCCTAGAATAAACCTGTATGCTAGCTTTTTTAAAAAATTGTGATTTGGGTGAAAGTTTACAGAGCAAATTCACTTTCCATACAGCAGTTCACACACACGTTGTCTCATGACATTGACCACAATTTACCCCAATGCAACAGCTCCCCTCCCACTTCCTCCCAATAGTTACCACTTCCCTGTGTCCATCCCTCCATACACTCCTGCCCCCTGGCTGTCTCCCTGTGCATAAACAGCCCTTCTTTCTCCCATGATTGTTCTCTCCAAGAAATGTATCTACCTAGTGTAATGTTCACCTCATATGCCTGTCTTTTGTTTGGCTGGAAGCCACAGGTGTGGGTTCAATTCCAGACCTGAAGGGCAGCTAGGGACCATAGTCTCAGTGGTTCCACCAGGCTCTGTCAGACCAGCAAACCTGGTCCCCCCCTCCTTTTATTTTCCAAATGATAACTGAGTTTTGTTCCACATTGTTCTCCCTCTTTATCCAGGATCTCCTACATAGATCTCCCTCCACGTGGTTGACAGTGGTACCCGGGCACTATCTAGTTCTTCTAGTCTCATAGTCATATAGGCTGTGGATCACATGGTGTATCAGTCGCTAGGACTAATTGTTTCCATGAATCTTTGGTTTTCTTCATTTTTCTTTGCTCTGGACAGGGAGAGACCCATTGTTGCATCTAGATGGCTGCTCGCGAGCTTTTAAGATCCCATTTGCTACTCACCAAAGTAGGAGGTGGAACAATGTTCTGTGTAGTATGTTATGCCGATTGAGCTTGATGTCCCCTGTGACTATGGTCCCGAGCCCACAGGTTCAACTACTCGGTCCCTCTGGGTAGCGGTTATGACCAAGAAGTGACTACAACCTTGTCCCTTGTCAGCTCTACTATATCCCTGGGAATTCTTACAGAACATACAAATACACTTGTAGAACCATTGTCTGCCCTGTCTGCTAGCTTTTACTTTTTCTTCACGTTTATATCCTCAGGCCATTTTTCAGGTTCATGACAAAGAAGTCCTTGCTTCTCAGCTACTGGTGTTGACTGGGCAAAGGCTGGCTTATGCGCTCTTCCATACCCAGACAAAAGAAGGAATGGAACTGCTTGCCAGACTTCCACCCACACTCTGTACTTGGCTGAAAGCAATGGTAAGTACAGCAGAATGAGCTGAGTTAGAAGGTCATTGGATATTTCCATAGGTGCATATTTAATAAGTTAAGAAAATTTAAAATTTAGTTTACAAAATTCCCAAAGAAAATCATTTTTATTGGGAAATAAGTCATAACAATTACTGTTTAGTTGTATATAACTGATGGTTTATTTTTGTGTCCCATTTGCAGGACCCCCACGGTCTTCAAAACACTTCAGTGCCAATTGCAACAACAGCTAAACTAGTAAATAAAGTAATTGAGCTTTTGCCCGAAAACCATGGGCAGTATAGTCTAGCCGTACACCTTATTGAAGCTGTGGAAGCCATATCTATTTCTTCTTCATGACACGTACCTGCTGGGTTAATGATAATGAAAATAGTCTTAAAACTGTGTGATTATAATGTGAATTAGTGCATGGTTATTTTACATAGTAAAATCTGGAATTTTATGGAGGGAATGTGTTGGGTTTTTTTTTTTTTTTTTTTGTAAAATAAAAATGTGTATTACTTAAAAGTATAGTCTACTCCTTTGGTTAATACTGAAGATAAAATACAAACAATTATCAGTTATACCATAATTACTAATACAGATGTTTTATTGTTTATTTCTAATTCAAGCACTTAAGTAGCTTTATTGTAAAACTTTTGCTGTTTTAAAATTGGTTATAATTACAGATTATGTTCTTATAAAATGATGTATTTCATACTCAAAATGTTAATTGTTGTAATTAAACTTACATGTGTTCATGTACTGTCTCCATCAGTCAAGATGGAGAAACATCCCACTCTCCTTTAATAAGTGTTGCAAAAATGCTTCTTATCATGCTTAGTCCTGTGCTGGGCTGCCTGAGACTTCTGGATGCTGACAGGTTCCTTTCCCGGAGGTTATGTTGTTGCCATCAGACAAGGATGGCCTTGCATGCAGAGGAAGAATGAGTTCAAGATCATCATAATTGTAACAGGGGACACAGATAGGACCCTTAACCTATTTTACTTGCCAAAATTGAGAATCTGAGATGCATGACCAACACAGCAAAATTAATTATAAGTAAGTTAAGATTAGCTTTTTGCCAAGGTTCAAAGTTGTATCCACATCAGGTAATTGTACAGATGTATTATCTTGTAAAACGTGTATAAAAGAAAAAGACCAAGATGCCAGGAATCTTAAGTCCAACTTTATTTTTCCTACAAGTGTCTGCTCTGGGGTTTGGTGATGTTATATGTCCTTAGGAATGGTACAGAAGATGCTTAGTCATGTTACAGCTTTAGCAAACCTACCTCACAGCTGAGTTGAGAGGCTAGAATAATTTTGTACCCTACAGTGCCTAGAGCAGTCCAAGGGCTGAATAAATATTTGCTGATTAAAACCAAATTAACCAAAACTGTAACAAGTGCTTTGAGCACTACAAATACCAAGTATTTATTATGATACACCTTTCGAATGTAGCCATACAGTAGTCATTGATAATGGATCACAATTGTTATTCATAGTAACTCATTGTAATACAGAAGTTTGTTCCTTCACTTCCTTGTAAGAAGCCAAGTAGTACCAGTTGTACAAAGCTGAGTAAGTCCTTCAGGGATGTAAAGGAAAAAATGTGGATATTTAGGGATATTCCAATGTAATTTCTTTTTAACAGTCACATCCAAGTTAGAACTTAACTTTGCTAAAACTTCATTACTGTTAAAGTAATTATCAAATTGAAAATCTTGAAAGATGATAAACTTTTAAGCTGTTTTGATGTGGGTTGGGGCTTGTGTGTCTTGCTGAGATGCACATTCTGGTCAGGAGTAGCACTGAAAGGGCCTGAACTTAGTGTACCCTCCCAGCCTCTGCTTGGATCTTGCTATCCCACCCAATATTTATATGACTTCTTGTACATGTATCTAGCTTTCTATAAATAGCCACTTGTTACATGTATTCTTAAGAAATTAGTTCTTCCTGTGATTTTTCTAAATACCCTTACAGTAATATGAATTTAGGAGGCTCGTCCAAAAAACTTGGTATTATAGGTGTTTTTAAAGATTAAACCCTCAGTTGATTCCATTTACACTTTTTAGGTATACCTATTAAGCATTTTAGATAATAAAACTGGTTAAATTTACTCTGATAGGACACATACTCACATCTGAGAATACTTGAGAATATTAATGAGCTGAAATATGGCTTATAGAACCATGACACCCAAATCATTGAGTCTCTAGTTAGAGTTGAATCCTAAAAGTTAACATTTCTAGAAATTAAAAAATTGAATTCTGAGGTATATATATGTTTAAGAAAATCAAATATTATTACTATTATTTCATCAAGGGCTTCTAAATAAATCTGATTGATAGGAAGAAAGAAAAATAGCTATGTCTACATTCTGTAACAACAAAGAGCCATAAATAAAAGAATTAGATTTTATATAAACAGGTGATTTCTGAAATAAAGGGTGTATTGTACTTACTGTAATTATTGATGGCAAACCCCAGTACCCACTAGTGTTCTACATATACCTCTATCCCCATACCCTTATCTTTCTTCATTAACATTAAAATGCATTATGTACCTTGTTAAATTAATTCCATTATATATTATATAAGGCTGAAGGAAAACAAAAACATTCAGGTAATCCTAACTCCTACACTGTAAGTTGTGTACAACTAGAGAGGCCAAGTTAAATGTAGAGAAGGAGATACATAGAACTAAGCTTCTAAATGCCTCATACTTTCACAAAAAGAAGAGAATTTCAACTTTGTTATAAAAATTCATCTATAAAGAAAAATGAACTGTTTTACACTGAAATTGGTTAGTTCACTTTAAAAAAAATTACAATTTTAAAAAACAGAAAATTCAGATTAATAATATTAAGCTTATGTTGAGTGTAATGTTTAGTATAACCATCATATGTTGCTGCAGACTATTTCATTTATAGGAGACAAATATTTTTAAAGTGCATTATAGCAACAGGGAGAACCCTCACTCAACCTGGTAGAGTGGGTTTGTTGGGCTTTCTAAAGTCAGATTCCTGCTGAATAGAATTCACCATCCTTATAAATATTTTAATATTTTAAAATTACAATAAATAATAAATTCAAATAAACAATTTGAATTATTATATGCTCTATTTACTGTAATGTACTGTAAGTAGTGAAATTCTGTATATACTGCTATTATTTTTATTGTTCTGAAGTTATGTAAATTAGTGAAATAAATTTTCAGCTTTCATACTGTTTTCTTAACATGCCTAAATGTAAATATTGAGGGATTTCCCCCCCCCCCTTTGGTATAACAACAAATTTGGTGATGCTCTTTTATTTCCAATTCAACCAGAAAAATTAGCGATTATGAAAATGTTAATGTTTGCTTTTGAAGGACCTGAAATTACTCTTTATCTCTCAAGGGAAACATACCCACCATATATCCCTTTAAAACCATTTTCTTCACTTGATATCCACAACTTCTACACCAATGTCAATAGTTTTCCAGAATGCCTTTATTTTCAGATATTACTGTGTCAAAAAAAAAAGACTTATTATAAAATATAAAACATTTCTGCTCAGCCACATTTAAAGGCAAGCATGTATGTTCTGAGTAAGTCCATTATGGATACATATATACACACACATTTCTGCATATATATATATTCATACAAACATCATTCCTTCTCTAGTTCAGGCACTATTACTGGTATAATTCTGATCTTGACCTTCATCTTCTATCATTTACTGTTCCACTCACCCATTGCCTAAACAAAATCTTGTATTTCTTTCTAGTACTAAAAACAATTCATCCAAACCCCGTCACTACTGGCAGAGGGGTTCTTGCTCAAGAGAACTGTTAACGCAAAAGCGAGGTCCTACTTTGCACCAACAACTTCTGCACATCGAGGGCAGAGTGCATCTGAAGACTCAGCTGTATACTTCCAACAACGAGGGCATTTTTCTTTAGTAGTTGGCATGACAATTACTTTATATGAAGACTCTTCACGAATATCACCACCTGTGAAAGAAAATAAATGAAGCGCATTGTGAAAGGCCATTCAACTGGTATCACTCATTCTAACTTGGCTTAGCAGGTGCTCCTATTTCAAAGCTTTCTCTCCTTCCTGCCCTGGTAGAACTTGTTAAGTACTTATTTGCCCCATTACATAAAGAGCCAAGACAATGGAATCACACAATCCAACAAATTAAAGGAGCTAAGGAACTTGAGATCAGAGGTTAACTCAAGTCACTAAGCTCTGTTATCTGCCTTCCAGCTCTTAACTCAGCTGTCTTTCTGATAAATTACACTGCCTCTCTAGCTGGCACTTGACTGTGAAGAAATAAAAGGCAACTTACAGCAACAATTGTAGTATCGCCACTCCACTCGAAACTTCTTGGTTTACACAAAAGGAAACAAAAATGTTCCCAGTATTACTTAGACCAACAAGTTGACTAAGTCACAGGACTGAGCAGAACTGCTCTCCAGGGTTTTCAAGGCTATAAATCTTTAGAGAAGGAGACAGCCTTTTTCTCCTGCAGAGCAGCTGGTGGGTTTGAATTGCCAACTTTTTGGTTAGCAGCTGAGTGCTTTAACCACTGCACCACCAGAGCCCCTTATCTAGACCTCAGGCAGATGAAATATAGTCAGTAAGTTATTTTCTGTCTTTCTGCAATAAAATGGACATTAACGTTTTAAAAAGCAAGTTCAGCCAGATCTTTATGCTTAATGCTGCCAAGCTTCAAATATAAAATGACCCCTATAAAACCTCCTGCTTGGTCCTGAATGCTATAAAGAACATAAGCAATTTCACTTTTCCCAACATATCTGCTTGATTTCTCTCTTAATCTGTTACTCTGCCTCCAGTTCCATCAATGATGATAAACTAGTGGACAAACATCCCTTATAAAACAATATCTACAAAGTATTTGTTTATGAGGTTATCACTGTGGGAATGAATTAATAAAATTTCTTTAACCTCTCATTAAGAAAGGCTAGATGATGATAATTGGGTTGTGAGGGATAGGAAGTTTTAGAATACTGGGAAAGGGTGAGCAGACATAGCAGTACTCCATATCAAAGGAGAGGGACACAAGGGAAACATGAGGGAGTCAGACTAACTTCACATGGATTAACAATTACTCAAAGCAAAATCTCCTCCTCTTATCCTTAGTCCTCTGTTGCCAAGATCACTGAGGGGAGTGGGGGAACCACTCCTAACCTGCGGGACTGCCAGTAAGTGATTAGACCACATCTTTCTATGGAAATCACATAATAAATGGCCATGTTTCTAAGCTGGTTCTCAAAGGAGTCCTAACCAGGGTCAGTGCTTCTAACAGGCTAACAGGCTAAGCAAGCCTTGAGGGCCTGCCTGCCCTCACCGCTCTAGTCATGCCCAGCTGCTAATCCTGGCAGCATGCTTAGGAAAAATCCTATGACCCACTCTGGAAAACACTGTTAGTTGCCAGTGAGTCCTTTTAACTCACAGCAACCGGCAGTTACCAACCCCCATAATACATGTTATATTAAAAATGTGAGGTACATACAGTAGTTTGTAATAAAAAACTACTTTGTGACATGCATCAAAGCATTATTATTGTACTGTTTATTAAAGATGTTTTATCTCTCAAAGTGTTTCATTAATGTTTTTTATGCATAGAAAAGTACAAAAAAATTCACTGCTATCAAGTTGATTCCAACTCATAGCAACCCCCATTGGGTTTCCAAGATGGTAAATCTTTACAGAATAATTGCCCTGCCCTATCTTTCTTCCACAGAGCAGCTGGTGGGTTTGAACTGTCAGCCTACTGATTAGCAGTCAAATGCCTTATGCACTATGCCACTAGAGCTCCTTTAGAAAGCTACACTGTATACTACATAATAAGACAAATATTTGACTAATATTAGCTGTGACACATACCTAATTGTTCCTTCCAGCTTACATACAAAATCAACTTAAAGACAGACTTAGAAATGGAACTCGTTTATAATCAGGACTGGCTGTATCTGCCTTTAGAATACAGGAAAGTTCAAGATGACCTATAATTATCATTCAATTTTTCAGATACCACTTGTTACTCTCACCTCCTCCTTACCTTCTAAATTGATTAGGAATGTTCCTGTAAGCTCAACTGCATCTGCAGTTATCTCTCGGGGTTCTTGACTGAGTAAAGTTGTCTCAGAAGCCATCATTAATTCATTCAACTGAGAGGTGCTAGAAGTCTCCTGAGTTTGTAGCATCTGGTGATAATTATCAGGGACAAATTGGGAAGTTATAAAAACAGACACTGTCAATTCTTTTGTGAGGAATCACTTGGTATCATTATGTTCTTATTAGCATAATACTTTAAATACATCAATTCTTTCTATGAAGCTTTAAGTAAAATCTTCAAATCAATAGTAGTATTGAAAATATGCTTTATACCAGGGACTTTGCTAGATGCTAAATGTCCATTATTTCTAGTCATCACAAAAGTCATACACAGTGTTTATTATTTTCATTTTACAAATGAGGTAACAGGCTCAGAGAAATTAACTTGCCCAAGTTTCTCAACCACAAAGTAGTGGAATTGGAGTTCAAGACTAATATATCATCCTCAAAGCCCATACTTTATTTTCTGTATCATGCTTCCTAGATTAGAAGAGGGGTGAAGATGCTATATATAAACACTTGCTTTTAGCAATGTAGTGCAATGGTGGCAATCTCAAAAAATGCAGAGTACCCCCAATTTGAATGTTTGATGCTACTGCTTTAACATATCACTTTATAAGCAAGTGAGAAGTGAACTTCAAAGAAAAAAAACAGCAGCCTAGATTTCTGTATCTAGAGAAAGTAACCTTCAAAAGTGAAGGAGAAATAAAGACATTCTCAGACAGACAAACTGAAGGAATATATCACCAGGAGACCTGACTTGGCGAGAAACATTAAAAGAAGCGCTTCAGTATGAAGGGATGGACACTGGGAGGAGGTAACTATGGGGAGGAAGTGGGAGGGGAGCTGCTGCATTGTAAATTTTGGTCAATGACATGAGACAAAGTATATGTGAACTGCTGTATGAAAAGTGAATTTACTCTAAATCTTCACCCAAATCCTATTTAAAAAAAAAAAAAGAAGAAGAAGCTCTTCAGTAAAAAGGAAAATTATATAGGTCAGAAACATGTTGTGTGCAGTTTAGTCGGCCCCGACTCATAGCGACCCCTCCTTGGGTTTCCGAGGAGTTGCTGATGGGTTTGAACCGCCAGCCTTCTGGTTAGCAGTCAAGTGCCTTAGGCACTATGCTGCCAGAGTTCCTAGGTCAGAAACATGGATATATATAAAGAGTATAGAAGGAATAAATGACATATTTTCTTTAACCTAAGAGATAACAATCTGTTCAAAATAATAGGAACAATGTATTCAGTGATAATAGTTACAACAGTATTAATAAGGGGTCAGAGGGAGGAATTGAAAATAGTCTAAGGTATTTTCACTATCTGTGAATCAGTATGATATCAATTGAAAGTAGACTTAGATTATTTGTAAATATATATTATAAACTCCAGGGCAACCACTAAAATAATTTTTTACAATAAGTATAATAGGACATATTAAGACAGGAGAGAAAATCATATAAAATGCTCAATTAAAACCAGAAAAGGCTGAAAAAGAAGACTGCAAAGAACAAGGATAACAAAAAGCTACAAATATGGTAGATAATAATCCAACTATATCAATAATCACTTAACTGTGCATGATTTAGAAACACCAGTCAAAAAGACAGGCTATCAGTCTACATAAGAAACCCTACAACTAGCATCATAATAATGAAAAACTATATAGATGTTTTTGCCATAAGATCAGTAACAAGACAAAGATGTCCCCTCACTACTATTCAGCATTGTACTGGAAGTCCTAGTTAATGCAAAAAGACAAGAAAGGGAAATAAAAGGTATATAGATTTAGAAGGAAAAAAACAGTACTGTCTTTATTCAAAGACGGTCTACATAGAAAATCCCAAAGAACCAACAAAAAACCTCCTGGAACTAAAAGATAAATACAGCAAGGTTGCAGGATACAAGGTTAATACATAAAAATCATTGCTGTACACAAGCAATGAACAATTAGAACTTGAAATTAAAAACACATCATTTATATTAACATTAAAAAAAAAAAAAAGCCCTGAAATAATTAGGTATAAATCAAACAAAATGTGTATGAAATGAGTAAAGTCAAAATGATTTCCCCCACCCTGGTTAAAACAGATAATTAGAACAGACAGGGCCCTGGATGGGAATAGACAAGTAAACTTAATTACCCTCAACTAGTTCCCCACCCCGGTTGGAGACAGATGAGTAAACACAATAAGCTCAGTTCCTTAAGAACTGAATGGAACAAAAAACATTCTTTCCTGCTATTTCCTTAGGCACAGGTGATAAACGCGTTAATGTGTCTTAGAAAACAACTTGAAAATTAACTCTGGCCCGAGGACATGCGCAGTGGGACAAAGAGGAACAAAGTTAATGGGAACTAACACTCTCCCCTCTGCCTAAGCCCTGATCAGCTGATGACAGGAAGTGGGTGTGACTCATCTGGTACGAAAGTGCACTGGATCAAAATGCTACTGTCCTTTTAAACCAAGGTGAAGGAAATTTCAGCCAATGTCAACCATCTCACGCCCAAATACCTGAAATTTTTATGAATATGCATAACCCTCTCTTCTGAAACCTACAAAACTGTAATTCAGTGGCATTTCGGGGAGTCAGATCTGGGTATGGGTATCCCTGCCTCCTTGCATTGCCACTTTGCAAAAAATAATTTTCTCTCCTTTTAATCACTTGGTGTGTAAACTGTTTTGGCCTGACTGTACACCGGGCAGGGACCTGTGTTTGGTCATATTTCATATACAGGAGCTATATAAGGAAAGCTACAAAATTCTAATGAAAGAAATCAAAGAAGATCTAAATAAATGAAAAGATAGTCCATGTTCATGGATTGAAGACTCAATATTATTAAGATGTCAGTTATTCCCAACTTGATCTACAGATTCAGTGCAATCTCAATGAAAATCCTGGCAAGTTACTTCATAAATAACCACTCAGAATAGCCAAGACAAGACTGAAGAACAATAAATTAATTTGGAGGACTGACATTATATGACAACAAGACTTAATGTAAATCTACAGTGATCACAACAGTGTAGTATTGTCAAAACAACAGGCAGACAGATCAATAGAACAAAACAGAGAACCCAGATAGAAACCCAAGCAACTGACAGTCAACTGAATTTTGACAAAGGAGCAAAGGTAGTACAATGGAGAAAGAATAGTTTCTTCAACAAACTGCTGGAAAAACTAGACATCCACATACTAAAAAAATGAATTTAGAACAGACTTTATTCCTTTCACAAAAGTTAAAATGCATCACAGACCTAAGTGTAAAATGTGAAACTATAAAACTAGTAGGAGATAACACAAAATTTAGGTAACCTTAGGTTTGGCAATGAGTTTTAGATACAATACCATAAGCATAATCCATCAAAGAAAAAATCAGTAAGTTAGACTTCATTAAAATTAAAAATTTCTGCTCTGCAACAGACATTGTTAAGAGAATGAAAAGACAAGCCACAGACTGAGAGAAAATATTTAAGGGAGGAAAAAAAAAAACAAAAAACATTGCCATTGAATCGATTCCCACTCATAGTGAACCTTTAGGACAGAGTAAAACTGCCCCATAGGGTTTCCAAGGCTATAAATCTTTACAGAGGCAGATTGCCTCACCTTTCTCCTTTGGAGCAGCTAATGGGTTTGAACTGCTGATCTTCAGTTAGCAGATGAATGCTTTAATCATTACACCACCAGAGCTCATTTTGGATACAAGTCCTGTATCAGACATGTACTTGGAAAACTCATATCTAATAAATATAACAGGAACTCTTACAACTCATCAAGAAAACAAAGATCTGAATAGGTACCTCACCAAAGAAGATAAACAAATAAGCTTAAGAAAAGATGTGCAACATCATCTGTCATCAAGGAATTTCAAATTAAAACAGCAATGAGATACCACTACACACATATAAGCATGGCTAAAATCCAAAATATTAACAACATCAACAGCTAACAAGGATGTAGAACAACAGAAACTCTCATTCACTGCTGGTGGGAATGCAAAATGGTACAGCTATTTTGGAAGATGGCTGGTTGCTTGTACAAAGCTAAACATAGTTGCATTCCTAGGTATTTACTCCAAGGAACTGAAAATTTATGTCTACATAAAACCTGCACATGAACATTTATAACAGTTTTATTTATAATTACCAAAAACTGGAAGAGGAATAGATAAATTGTGATACCTCTGCACAGTGGAATATTATTCAGTGATAAAAACATACAAGCTATCTATCAAGGCATGAAAAGTCATGGGGGATCAGTCCAAAAGGCTATATACTGTATAGCTCCAATTATATGACATTTTGGTAAAGGTATAATTACATAGAGACAAAAAGATCAGTAGTTGTTTAGGGTTGGAATGAGGACATAGGGATGAAGAGGTAGAACACAGGATTTTTAGGGCACTGAAACTATTCTGTAGGATACTGTAATGTGGATATCTGACCTTTTGTAGTTGTCAAAACCCACAGAACTGTACAACAAAAAGAGTGAACCCTGATGTTGACTAAAGACTTTAGTTGACAGTAGTATTGATTCGAGACTTCTGGTAAGATGGAGGAATAGACAAGCTACACAGACTCTCTTTAACAAAGAAAAGAGAAACCAAATGACAGAGATACAGAAGACAATTCTAGAGCCCTGAGCTTTGAAATGAACTATGCAGAAGTGATGAGGCACCAAATAGTGGAAAAACCTGAACAAAAACAGTGAGTATGGAGATGGCTGGAGCACAGCGGACTCTGACAGGACCAACAGCCTGAATTTCCAAGTGATGTTGGGACCTGAGATTGACCTAAAGATCAGCCCTGGTCGCCAAGGGCTGCAGGGATGACTGTGCTGGTGGCATATGACTAGGAAAGGAAACAGCAAAGAGGGAGACAACCTGAGCTGTGGACTTTCAGCAGTCTGGAGGGTGCAGTCACTTTGATTATTTATAAGTGGTGGCCATTTTGGATATTTAAAAGTGACTGAGGGCACAGCCATTTTAAATGTTTACAAGCGGCAGCCATTTTGATATTTAAAGTGACTGAGGGTGCGGCAATTTTTAATATTTACAAGAGGTAGCCATTTTGGATATTTAAAGTGACCAA